TAGGGCATACGACTTATAACTTGTGATTTAGGTTAGCCTAGGGCAGACCTAATGGCTAAAGAGTTATGACTGATGACTTATGAGTTATGAATTAAGGCTTAAGGTATTAAAGCTTAGGTATTATGGCTTATGCCTTAGGTATTAGGGTTTATGGATTATAGCTTAGGGATTAAGGCTTATGACTTATAGCTTAATTAGGGCTTATGGCTTGGATATTAGGGCTTATAAATTAAGGATTAAAGTCTTATGACATAATGATTATGATTGGATCATATGACTTAAGGCTTATGCCTTATGGCTTAGCCTTATGGTTTATGTCTTCCGACTTAAGTATAAAGGCTTGAGTCTCAAGACATAAGGCTGAAGGCATATGGCTTGTGACATAAAGCATAAGGCATACTTAGGGTTTAGCCTTATAAGCAAAGGTCCACTTCCACCTCAACTACCTCCACACCCCATACCCCACACCTACCCACCCATCTACCAAACTTTATCCCAACCCACACCCACATCCATAACCATACCACCCACCTCACCCACATCCACAACAACACTCTCACACTCACCCATCCTCACCATACATAACCTACACTGCTAATCAGACATAAAGTTATCACATACCTACCTACACCTATACTTATGTTCCTATTCCCATAAGCCCACGTCGTAGCCTACCAGCTCACCCCACCTCTAACTCACCTACAAATCCATACCACACACCCTACACATCCTATCACCAAACCAACCTCTTATAACCTTTTTTACTCATATTTGACCCTTCAAGCTTAAGTGTAGATATTTTGAGTTTATTCCAATTTTAAGTTTATACATTTTGAGTTTATTTAGCTATTTATGCATTTTAAATGTGCTATTTGTTCAGGTATATTTAAAATTTAACCACCATTTCATCCACTTACTCCACGTGAACACACATACTCCTACCCACCTCACCCATATACCACCCAACTTAAAATGCACACCCCCCGAACATGGGATAAAAGTCAAAATAGCTTACCAACTAATCAAAAATACTACTTTTAACATCACACAAATATTTTATAATTTTTAAAGAGCACAGTCAAATTCTAAGATATCATATTTCACACATTTTTTAGCTGATAAATTACATTAATCTTATACATGTTATAAGTTTATAAATTATTAAAAACGTAAATCATTTAATTTTGACATAAAACATAAAACATAAAACAAAAAAAACAATTATGTTTTTAGCGAGTTTTATTTTGAAAATATATATATATATATATATATATATATATATATATATATATATATATATATATATATATAT